TCCATCACCATTTACCTCTCCTTTACCCTCTTCTACCTCCTCCATCCCCCTTACCTGCCTTTTTAACAGTCGAAACCATCATCATTGGCTTAAAGCTGATGTAGGAATACTAAATGGGAAGCTTACCTTCCCGAGGTTGGGATTTCAGGAAAGGCAGTATTTGAGGTAGTGTTAGTCAACATTAATCAAAGGAAAAATAAGTTCTTTGTTGAAGTAGAATTAAAGTTTATTATAGCAACTTTGTTTTTATGTTTCTTCTACAATTAAAATGTTATCACCATGGCATCTTTAAATCATTATTGTATTAACAAATTGAAACTATTTCTGTAATCTCTGACATTTATGAAATAGGCATTAGACTGCTTATATTATAACTAGTCTATTTTTCGATAGATGCTTTAAAAATTATGAAGTAATTTAAAAATTTTAACTTATAGTGGATTATATTACAGATATTTGTGTGCTCAATTTGCTTCTTTACAAAACTATTATTTCTTTGCATCCTTATTCTCTGGGTTGTATCTATTACATAATATAAATTCAGTGAATAAAATGATGAACTCATTTTTGGCAAGGCTATAAATTGAAGTCTTAGAATTTTCAGTAGTGTTTTTGCTCTAATGTCTTACTGATACCCTAACAATTTCAACTCCTAATTGAATAGCTTTAATAATTAACAATGAAAACATATTTTAAATGGCTACTTTAAACCTGCTACAGAGTTATGTAATTTTTCATTTTAGTAACATATAGTGCTGCTCTAGTTATTTTATTATGGTCTTATTTAGTATGTCACTTATATACCTTATATAATATGAATTAAGTTAAATTTCATTACTGTTTTCATCATTCAATCTTGACACTTTAAGTCTAGGAAATTTCAAATCAAGATCTAAACACTAACTACATCAGACTAAAAAGTTCTTGCCCAGCAAAGAAAATCACCAACAAAATAAAAATACAATCCACTGAATGGGGGAACATATTTGCCGATACATCTGACAAGTGGATAATATCCAAAATTCAAACAATTCAATTAATAGATGGGCAAAGAACCTGAATAGACATTTCTCCAAAAGGGACATACAGATGGCCAATAGACATATGAAAAGATGCTCAACGTCACTAATCATCAAAGAAATGCAAATTAAAACCACAATGAGATTTCATCTCACACCTCTCAGAATAGCTAACATCAGTAACTCAAAAAACAAATGTTAGCTAGAATGTAGAGAAGAGGGAATGCAAGATGGTGCAGTCACTGTGGAAGGCAGTATGGAGTTACCTTAAAAAATTAAAGACGGGACTGCCAAAAGTTCTTTTTTTTTTTTTAGGTTTGCCCAATTTAGCTAGAAAATTCCTTTTATTCTCAGATTTTTTTTAATTTAAATTCTTTATTGTTTAAAGTATTACATAAGTCTCCTTTTTCCCCCAGCCACCCCCAACCCCCAGTACATGAACTCAGCCCCCTCTCCCCTGTCTGTGCCCATTGGTTATGCTCATATGCATGCATACAAGTCCTTTGGTTGATCTTTTACCCCTTTGCCCCCTGCCTTCCCTCTTAGGTTAGACCAGGGGTGGGCAAACTTTTTGACTCGAGGGCCACAATGGGTTCTTAAACTGGACCGGAGGGCCGGAACAAAAGCATGGATGGAGTGTTTGTGTGAACTAATATAAATTCAAAGTAAACATCATTAAAAAAAAGGGTGTCACGGTTCTGTAGATCGGTGGCTGCAAGAACTGCAAGTCACGTGCCCACATCCATGCTGTTGCAAATGGTAAGAGTTCCTTCTTTTTTGCAGCAGCGTAGTATTCCTTTGTGTAGATGTACCATAGATCTCTAATCCATTCATCTGCTGATGGGCACTTAGGCTGTTTCCAATTCTTAGCTATTGTAAATTGTGCTACTATGAACATAGGGGTGCATATATTCTTTCTGTTTCTTGGGATATATTCCTAGAAGTGGGACTGGATCAAATGGAAGTTTAATTTTTAATTTTTTGAGGAAATGCCATATTGTTTTCCACAGTGGCTGCACCAGTATGCATACCCACCAGCAGTGCAAGAGGGTTCCTTTTTCTCCACATCTTCTCCATCACTTGTCATTTGTTGATTTGTTGATGATAGCCATTCTGACAGGTGTGAGATGGTACCTCATTGTTGTTGTGATTTGCATCTCTCGGATGATTAGTGACTTTGAGCATGTTTTCCTTTGTCTCTTTGCCTTCTGTATGTCTTCTTCCAAAAAGTGTCTATTTAGCTCCTTTGCCCATTTTTTATTGGATTGTTTATCTTCCTTTTGTTAAGTTGTATGAGTTTCCTATAAATTTTGGAGATTAAACCCTTATCGAAGATAACATTGGCAAATATGTTCTCCTATGTAGTGGGCTTTCTTGTTGTTTTGTTGATGGTTTCTTTTGCTGTGCAGAAGCTTTTTATTTTGATGTAGCCCCATTTATTTATTTTCTCCTTAGTTTTCATTGTCCCAGGAGTTGTATTCAGTAAAGACATTGCTATGGCAAATGTCTGCTATTTTGCTGCCTATGGCTTCTGAAACTAAAAGTTCATTTAAAATTAAAAATGGACTGCCTTATGACCCAGTAATTCCATTTCTGGGAATTTATCCAAAGAAACCCAAGACACTAATTCAAAAAAATGTATGCACTCCTGTGTTCATTGCAGCGTTATTTACAATCACCAATATTTGGAAACAGCCCAAGTGTCCATCAGTAGATGAGTGGATAAAAAAGCAGTGGTACATTTATACAATGGAACTAGAGGCCCGGTGCACAAATTCGTACATGGGTGAGGTCCCTCGGCTTGGCTGGCATTCAAGGCCGGCGGGGGGAGGGACCCCTGGGAGGTTGGCTGGCCGGCCCCCCGGATCAGGGCCTTCAGGAGGGCCGTCCGGTAAGGGGGAAGGACCGTGGGAGGTTGACTGGCCTGGGGGAGGGGCCGTGGGAGGTTGGCTGTGGGAGCACACTGACCACCAAGGGGCAGCTCCTGCTTTGACCATCTGCCCCCTGGTAGTCAGTGTGCGTCATAGCGACTGGTCGACCAGTCATTCCAATCGTAATGGTTGTTAGGCTTTTATATACATAGACACTACTTGGCCATTACAAAAGAAGGAAATCTTACCCTTTGCAACAGCATGGATGAACTGGAGAGCATTATTCTAAGTGAAATAAGCCAGTGAGAGAAAGACAAGTACCATATGATTTCACTCCTATGTGGAATCTAATGAACAAACAAGCAAAATAGTTACAGACTCATAGATAGAGAGCAGGCTGACAGTTGGCATTGAGGGAACTTAAGGGGAAGGGGAGGTATTGAGTAAAAAGGAAAAAAAAGAGAAAAACTTATAGACACAGACAAGAGTGTGGTGATTGCTAGGGGGAAGAGGGTTGAGGGAGGTAGAGGAGGGCCTGGAGGGTAAATGGTGATGGATGAAGACTTGGCTTGGGATGGTGAACACACAATACAGTGTACAGATGATGTATTATAGAATTGTATACCTGAAACATGTATAATTTTGTTTAACCGGTGTCACTCAATAAATTAAAAAAAAACAAAAAACATTATTTCAGTATGTGAAAAAAATTATCTGAACACTAGTTCCATTAGCAAGGATAAAGGGTAACGTTAAAGAGTTTAAATGCAGAGCTTTCAATAAAAGATAATTTGGTTAAATTACTTTTTAATGAAAACCAGAATATCATTTATTAATTTACATATGAGATAGGCGATATCTTCAAGTGTCTAAAATACATAAGTGTCTTATTTATGATACCTTTTTTATATTGAGTACTTATAAAGTCAAATAAACAATCATAAATTTTCTTTTTAAGCTCTGAATTAGAACAGTGATAGGTAAGCACTGAATTAGAGCAGTGGTAGGAATTAAGAACCTAGAGCACCTGTCTATTAGAGATATGATAGTAGCACAATACTACCATATATGGAATTTAAAAATTTTAGTAGCACATTGTAAAAACTGAAAAGAAACAGATTAAGTTAATTTTAATAATATAGCTATTTAACTCAGTATATCCACAATGTTATTTTAGCCCATAATCAATGTTTTTAAATTAACCTTTTTATGCTAAGTATTTAAAATCTGCTATGTATTTTACACTTAATGTACATCTCAATTAGCATCTTTACTTACTAGCTACTTCAGTTATGTAAGAAAATTACTGAATATTTTTGTGTCTCAATTTCTCCATTTTTATAATGAAACATTATAATGGTTAAATTAGATAATATATACTATGCCTAGCAAATGGTAAGTGTTACAGAAATCTTAGCTGCTTTCCAAAAATATTTCAAACAGATGAACATGATATGTAATGACATCTCTGCCTCAAGGCAAAGATTATATCTTAAGCATTAAATTTGTAACTCTAAAACACTCATCTTTTTCCATTGGACAGTTCTGGGTATACATATCTCTCTGAATCCATGTCTTAACTATTTTTAAAAGAAGCAAAATTAATATTGGCTCATCAGTTGTGACAAATATTTCACACTAATGCAAGATGTTAAAAGAAAACTGTGGTGTGAGAATCTGTGAAATAAATTTCTTTACTTTTCTGATTATTTTCTCTGTAAACCTAAAACTACTGTAAAAATTAAGTCTGTTATAAAAACAAACAAACAAAAAAACCCAAACAAACACCATGTCTGCTACTGATTCTTGATATATCTCAGTTGTGACAGAATCCATCAGTAAAAGTGGCAGTTTTAGTATCATTAAAACCGTCAATCAGAGAAGTTTAGTTATGGTGAAAAGTCTGACTTAATGTTTCCTCTTCCAGTAGTCATTCATTATCTACCTCTTTTTAACTAATATATGGAAAATTTAATCATAAAATGGTTGTTTTGCCTTCATGGTTATTGGGGTGGGCAATGGGCATTATTGGTGTCACTCTGTTGTTAATAGTCCTATTTTTTTATACACTATTGCCGGTTTTGAGAATATTTTCTTCTCCTGATTTCAGGTTGGGTGGGACTATATCAGCATACAAGATAGTACCAGACGAAATAGAAGAAATCAAGGTACCGTATGGCGTTTTTCATCTCTACAAACAAAGACTTAGTATCTTGGTGGCAAGTGGGGGAAGAATTGCTTATTCTTTATGCTATTAAATCTTTGACTGTATTAGGACAGCATTTTATTCCAAGTTATCCTATTTGAAATAATATATAATAATATATATCTGATAGTGGTCATCTGATAGAGATCAGATCTCATCTATCATTACCATTGCATTTCTAAAAAAATATTAGAAGAATCGAAAAGGAACCCTTTCCTGTGAATTTCATTGAAAAATCTACTAAAGAAAGCATTGTATTTATCCATAAGTGTGTATAATGAATTATCTTTTTATCTTGTTTTAATTTCTTTTCTGTATAGATTTTCACCGATTATAAATGTCAGTCGTATAGTAAATATTTCCTGGTTCCTTTGAAAAAATATGCCAATTTCAATTAAAATTTACAGTACTGGCCATGGCCAGGTAGATCAGATGGTTAGAGAATTGTCCGGATATGCCAAGGTTTCAGGTTCGATCCCTGCTCAGAGCACATACAGGAATCAACCAATGAATGCATAAATAAGTGGAACAGCAAAATCGATGTTTCTTGCCTTGGCTGGCTGGTTTTTTTGGTTGGAGCCTCATCCATACAGCAAAAGGTTGTGGGTTCAATTCCCAGTCAGGGCCCATACCTAGTTTGCAGGTTTGATCCCCAGGAGGCAGCCAATTGATGTTTCTCTCTCACATCAGTGTTCGTTCATTCTCTCTCTCTCTCTCTCTCTCTCTCTCTCTCTTTTTCTCTTTCTCTCTTCTCTCTCTCTCTCTCTCTCTCTCTCTCTCTCTCTCTCTCAAATCAATGAAAGCATATTCTTGGGTGAGGGTTGAAAAAAAATTTAATTGATGTATTTTTCTTTCTCAAATCCATTAAAAATTGCAGTACAATAAATGAAACTTGACATTTTTGAAAATTACAGCATTACTATAATCTTCTATACCTAACATTTTACTAAACTTTATGGACTATTAATTTTCTAACATAACATGTGGCTCTTGTTTAAAAGCAGTTTACAATGTAACAAGAACTGAACTTACTACCTGTTCCATAAGTAAGTTAACAATTGGATAGAAGTAGTGAAGGATAAACAATACTGAGTTAAGTTGTTAAAATGACATGTAAAGTTCTCAACAAATTATTAACCTTGATTTGATCAACTTTTCAAAATCAAGTTAAATATATTCAAATCTTAAATAAATCTTTAATTTTTTACATTATTCTTAAATTAGTTGAACTCATTGATCTTTATTATGTAATACTAGAGGTCCAGTGCACAAAATTCATGCACAGGAGGGTTAGTCCCCTCTGCCCAGCCTACACCCTCTCCAATCTGGGACCCCTTGGGGGATGTTTGACTGCTGGTTTAGGCCCGATCCCCAGGACCACTGGCTCCTAACTGCTCACCTGCCTGCCTGCCTGATTGCCCCTAACTGGCCCCCCTGCCAGCCTGATC